CGTTACTATATTGTGTATTAAGTCTGTATTACATTCCTTAACGTTATCTTATAGTATAACATAATGGGAATCTTCCGTTCCAGTAAAATTCTTTCACTTTAATCATATGGTCTTCATTCTCATGCCAAAATATAAAATTATAACTGAACACATTTTCTGGTTAGTTGTGCAATCATTTTGAGGCACTTCAGTCAGGTAGAGAGGTATGACTATAATTTATTGATAGAAAAGATTGTCATGAGTAATTTGATGAAATACGACTTCGTTGACTTAGGCCATAAATCTCCACAATGTTGATATTGACTAAACCTATATCTTGAGGAATAAGGAGATAGTGTTTCACTGAATTGAATGGTGCCGGTATTTTTGTCCTTGTTGGATTCACTGAACTGAAACTATGAAGCTGGAAAGTTGTTGCTGAAACCATATCGCAACGTCATGGTTAAATCTGGACCTGTACATAATGATTAATCTTATCCTTTCTCATGCATAACCGTATAGACAATCTTCCGTTTCAGCAAAATTCTTTCACTTTGATAGTCGTCTTTGTTATAATTATGCAAAAAATAACTGACAAAACACATTTCCTTGTCAGATGTGCAATCATTTTGCAAGACACTTTCAACGAGAGCACCTTGAAGAAAACTAAACTCAGAGAAAATTTATTTGGTAAGGTTGTGCTGACAAATGTAAACTAACTGGTGCATGCAGTATACTGTTTGATTTGTCATTTCCTCAGAAAACATAAGAACTATATATATAAATGTACTGTATATATAGGGGTAATTAATCTATGAACCAGTAAAGCCATCTTAAAATCTAAATTGGATAATAAGAGTTTTTCAGGACTCAAATGACTCGGCTGACAAATCTGAGCGTGTTGGATTGTCTCGAAAATAATTTGCCAAGACACTTTGAATCGTGGTTGCAAGGCTTTTTTTATTAAGGAAATATAACTTCTCCGACATCAGAAGGCCGGCAAGGATGATGAAGCAATTTTGATGTCACCGCGTAGGTTTTAAACTTGAGTTAAAAATCGTGCACCTGGGCTTGTATTCTATCACTGCGCAGGACCAGTAAACTTATCGAGCGACATATGAAGTGGTAGCGGGTGTTCAACCATTTTCTCAGCCAAAATTTTGTCTGAATGCCAGTCACCCGACCCATGATTACTGCCAAATTCCATTCTCAACAGGAAACTTTCTGTGTTGCTGCATGGTACAAATGGCACAAATCCCATTCTTATAGTGATCCAAATTCTATTTTTCCGGTGAGAATATAGGCTACACCCATTTTATTGACTCCTTCATGCACGAGCTTCATTACTAATACGTATATACAACGGAGCTGCCTTCTTAATTATTATTAAGTGTAATAAATGTTTTCTTCGCTCAAACTATCCCTTTAATGGTGAAAAAAATATGTTTGATCTATATATGTGTGTTTACTAAACATGACCATTTTTAAAAAAAATGTTGAGCATGCACTTCGGCTCCGCGCATCCTAGTGCTTTAAATGTCCGATTATATACATCAAGTATTACAATTGCTTATATTACATACTCTGCCTAGACAATTTATCTTTACAACATTGTGACGTACATTACTTTCCTAGCTATGTTTATCCAAATCAACCCTGCAAGTCCCACGATTTTCGGCGGTACAGCGTTGACCCTTTTCACGAAATACAGCCAAGTCAATAGTCATAATATAGTTTTTGAAATATAGTTTTTGAAAGAACGAGGCATTGACATAATGACGTAATCATACTAAAGTGTAAATATATTTCTTAGTGGCTACGCGGCTACGCAGTGAGTTTTTAAAAGAACGAGACATTGATATAAGGACGTAATTGTAAGGAAGGTATAAATTTTAGTGGCTACGTGGCTACGCGGCTACGCAGTGAGTTTTTAAAAGAACGAGACATTGATATAATGACGTAATTGTAAGGAAGGTATAAATTTTAGTGGCTACGCGGCTACGCAGTGAGTTTTTAAAAGAACGAGACATTGATATAAGGACGTAATTGTAAGGAAGGTATATTTTTTTAATGGCTACGCTGCTACGCAGTGAGTTTTTAAAAGAACGAGACATTGATATAATGACGTAATTCTAAGGAAGGTATGTTTTTTAGTGGCTACCCGGCTACGCAGTGAGTTTTTAAAAGAACGAGACATTGATATAATGACGTAATTCTAAGGAAGGTATGTTTTTTTGTGGTTACGCGGCTACGCAGTGAGTTTTTAATTAAAAGAACGAGACATTGATATAATGACGTAATTGTAAGGAAGGTATATTTTTTAGTGGCTATATATATACGTGGCTACGCGACTACGCAGTGAGTTTTTAAAAGAACGAGACATTGATATAATGACGTAATTGTAAGGAAGGTATAAATTTTAGTGGCTACGTGGCTACGCCGCTACGCAGTGAGTTTTTAAAAACACGAGACATTGATATAATGACGTAATTGTAAGGAAGGTACATTTTTTTAGTGGCTACGCAGCTACGCAGTGAGTTTTTAAAAGAACGAGACATTGATATAATGAAAATAAAAGAACGAGACATTGATATAATAAAACACTTAATGCCTGTTCCCACGGCAAAATTGTTAATTTTGCTTTCCCGAGAATCTTAACGTAACATTGAGATTCTCGGGAAAACAAAACTAACTATTTCCCTCGGGAGCAGACATTAAGTGTATATTATACCCTAGATTATACTATTATAGTTATTATTACCTGCCTCATTTCGCTACGTACTCATATGGCCATGCTTAACATATGAATTATAATATAGATCAAACATATTTTTCACAACTAAATTATGCATTTGAGTGCTATAATAGTATAATCTAGGGTATAATAATAATCAAACTATCACACTGTTTGCTGTTGTGGATCATATTGAGAATAAATTTATCGCCATAAATCTCTAACTGTTCTAACACCAGCAGGTTACAAAGCCGCTGGAGATATTCAAATTGATGATAACGATATATAAGTGGTTATATACAACCACAGTTAATAGGTCATTAACTTGTGATACAACTTATTTCGCAAAAATGTTTTAAATTTTGCTACGTTGAGTTTGAATTACTGAATACTGAGTATAAATGCTTGAGTATGCTTAATTAGTATACAGCTATTTCAATTAAGGCTCAGTTTTGAAGTTTGTGCTAATATAAATATAATGACCCCAGTTCAGGATTTTATACCTATCAGACACAGTACTAACGGGGCCTGTTCATATGGGCAAAAGTTATCCCGGTTAACGAGAGAACTTTTCGACTAGCCAAATACTTTTGTTCTGTTCATATGGAGAAATATTATCCCACTTACCGGGAAAAGTTTCCGGCTGTGACGTAGCACTGAACATCAATTGAATTGAAAAGTTACTGACACGACAAAAAGTTATCCCGCTAAGCGGGAAAGTTGTGTTCATATGAGGAAAACATTATCCCGGTCACCGAGATCTCGCCTGTCAACAAGCGAGATCTCGGTACACGGGAAAACTTTTCGTCTCATATGAACGCAATGTAACTTTTCATATTATTTTCGTAACAAGGCGAGATCTCGCTCGTAAACTTGTCGAAACGTTTTCTCGCTAACCGGGATAACCGTCTGCCCATATGAGCAGGCCCTAATGCGCCCTATACAAATAAAACTTCCGGCTTTTCCGCCGGCTAGGATTAAACTGCGCTTTAAAACGATCAAAATAAAATATTTTGGGGCTTTTGGGCTCAAAATACTATCAAAATGAAGAGAGAAGTGAGACAAATCCACTGGTATACGGCCGGAAAAGAGAAAACAAACGATACCAAAGTTATCAAGGATCAAACGTGCTGCATTTTTTATAATTAGTTGAATAATTTTGAGCGATTCTTTCCCAATACAATTCGCTTGGATTTCAAAGATAAAGGCCACAAATCGCTAGAATACTGTTGTTTAGTCATACATTTGACACCCGTAAGCAGTGGCGTGCTGGGTACTAATTTTCTGGGGGGGGCAGTGGGCTTTTAACTAATATGCGCCCCTATATTGTAACGCTTGATAAACGAGTGTCGAAGGCACGAGCCGAGCGCCGCAGGTGCGAGGTTTCTCTAGGGGGGTCCGGGGGCATGCCCCCTCGGAAAATTTTTGAATTTAGGGTCTCTGAAATGCCATTTCCTGGACTTTGGGGGGAAGGTTTGACAGAAATCTGATGGTCAGGAAACAGCATTATAACGTGTTGAAATTTGCAATTTGGTTAGAATTTAGTAGTAGTATTTAAATTGGGCAATGCTAACTTAGTTCCAGCGATTAATCTAATCCCAATTCTATTCTCTACTGATCTCGTGATCTGAATACATTTACAACATACAGCTCGTTTATACAATAACACACGGACCCCACGCATATGCACTTTAAGGTTACCTTGCTTGACTGCCAAAAGGGCGCGTTTCAGCATTATCTTATCACTTACATTACTCATGAGTGATGATGTTTCTTGCACAAACAACTAAATTGCGTACACAACTTACATTATCATAACTATCTAATTTGCGCCGCTCTCGTGATTCGTGAAGCATAATACCTTCATAATATAAGGGCATAATACCAGCAAAAAAGGGCATAATTCCCGTGATCGCTTCGAAACCTGACCAATATTCCGGTAATGAGACATTGTGTGTGATCACCGATCATTTTTCTATATCAACGATTTTGTGTGAGCTGTGAAGTAGCAAATTAGCCAATACGGTTAGACCAAATAGTCTGTAATTTAATATATCTCTTTGTCGTCTATGCGCTTAGTCCCGATCTGTTTAAAAGCCTATATAAATATATACTTCTTGACGGAAGTAACTATATTTTTTCAAATGCGTTTTTTCCCACCCACTTTCAAAATTCCGCACGGGACGGCGCCCCTTTTTAATTTTTGCGCCCCCCAAGAATTGCCAGCTGGGGGGGCCGTGGCCCCCCGGCCCCCCCTGCCAGCACGCCACTGCCCGTAAGTACAATTTCTTACGCTGAATCGAACGGTGGTATTTTTCTCCTTATTGCGCGATTTTGCGCCATTAGGCATTACAACTTAGTACAAGGTCAAGGACAAACGTACTGCGAGTGATTTGTCAACAATACGTACTGCGAGAGATTTGTCAACAATACAATTTCGCGGGTGTTTGTATTCCGAGTAATGAGTAATGAGTAATGAGTAATGAATTTTCGTACTTGCTTTGGAAAGATAAACCATGAAAACATTGACAGTGATCCCACTCGCTCCTTGCCGTGAATAATTTCAATGCTGTGAAAGTGTCAGCAGTTTAAACTGCATGGATGATCAAATATGGCCATATAAAAGTTCGCTTATAGCATATTCGTTTTTAGTACGTCACATATTAACCAGTTTAGCCTTCAAAACGTTTCTCTCCAAGTTGAATAACATATTCGCAATAGTAGAATACAAGTAAACACTAATATAGCGGTCAACAAAATCGATTTAAAGAGTAATATCTTGGTTTTATAAACTGAAAACTTAGTTATCGACATTTCACACTGGAAAAACGTGAATTTAGCCGAACAAAATGGTATGGAGCATGACCGCAGATAGCAAAACAAATATGGCGGCCGAAGATTTATCATAAAACCAACCTTTATACGACAGCGCAGCTTGTATTCTGCAGTATACTACTATTGCGAACAAGCTGTTCAACTTGGGGACGATCGTTTTAAAGGCTGAACTGGTTAATATGTGACATGCTAAAAACGAGTATGCTATATAAGCGAAATTTATATGGCCATATTTGATCATACCAGTTTAAACTTCTGACATCGTCACAGCATTATAATTATTCACGGCAAAGAGTGTGTGGAATCACTGTCAATGTTTTCATGGTTTATCTTTCCAATTCAAAGTAGGAAAATTCATTACTCATTACTCATTACTCATTACTCGGAATACAAACACCCCAATTTCGCTTGATTTTGAAAAGCCATAAATCGCTGAGAATACTGTTGTTTAGTATATACATTTGACATCCGTAAGTACAATTTCTTACGCTGAATCGAACGTTGGTATTTTTATCCTTATTGCGCCATTAGGCATTACGAATACAATATATTTCACACTACAGTTTTCACGTTTCCACAGCTATTAAATTAACTAGCACTAATAACTATTTGATATAGGGACTGTTGTTGGATACATTTTATATTGATATATGACACCAATCTGCTTCTCATAAAGTAGTTATCTATTAAAATTACGTTGTGTAGTTGCTGTAAGTTATAACCTTTTATCTTGAAATTGTCTTTGCCTTTGGCTCGTTTATATTCAGATTCAGTATATTATGATCGTGCACGGGAATTCGACGATCCAAATTTCGGATTTTCAGAGTCGTCCACCAAGAAAAATGCATTAACTAAACTAGCAAGAATGTCTAGAGTTAGACACAACGCAAAATCCATACAAAACAGGTACAATTCGTTGAAAATTTTAACGAAATTGTTTGAAATATTTTGCCCACTCCCTGAAAGGCTGCCATTTTGATATTAGGCAGCTCATTAATATTCTATTTTGTGGCTATTGAAGAAAATTGGAGATTGGACTCAGTGATTGGAGATTGCCGATCCACCACAAATGCGTGCCGAAACCCTCTGGCCAAAACCTATACTCACGCGGGAACAGGTGCCCCAGCGAGTAAACAGCTGTGTGCTATAGTCGTAAAACGACAATGCCGTGCTTATAAGCGGTCAAATAAATTAACTATATAAGCATTAATTTAAATGTATTTTATTGGCACAATAAAAGGAAATTATTATATGGCAAGCATCACTTCCGGTGAATTGGCGGACTGTGATTGGCTGAGAAGCACTTTCGGCGGTCCATTATTTTCCGGAAAATAATGAAAATTTGAAAATTATGATTTAATTTGTTATTATAAGATATCTGCGAAGCGGAATAGAAGGAATACATTGGTATTTTTTGTTTTCTTCGATCAAATGTGTATCACACTACCAATATGCATTTCAAATCATGCATTTCTTGTTTGTTTCAAGTATAAATGCATATAAATGCCTATAAATGCAATATAATAAACTTTCTATTAACCTCAATCGCTCGGTCTTTACAAAGGGTCCGATATTATATTTCTCTGTAAAGACCTCGCGGTCGGTTAAATTAATAAAAAGTTAGTAACCGTGAATTAAGATACGCCCGCACTGTTACACACAACACGTTGTAGTATATGAATATATAATGTGAATATACAATAAAGAGCTGGCAACGAGGCATTCGCGTTCGGCTGCTTCGAGCGTCCCACCCATGCTTCCCTACCATTTATCGTCGGTTTTGCTTTTGTCGCTGCTTGTTCCGCTTCATGTTCTGTCCACCTGGATTCCACACCCAGGTCCAGTTTCGAGGTGTTTTCCCGATGCAAATCATTCTCTTGTTTCTCTTGGGACCATCCCCTCTCTGCTTCGCTTATTTAGTGTAAGTTATCCCCGTTTTCAGACGGGTGATAAGTCTCGATTGGGGATGGAGGAAGTAACATTAAGTACATTAATTGGTTGGCTGTAAGGAATCCTTATGCTGCATGGTGCTTGATTATAGGTATATCAAACTTTCGTTGGAGGATGCAACTACCAGAAAGTATAAGGAGAATTTCGACGTTTCGAGCGAAGGCCCTACAGTTCTTGATTAGTTATGTTCATCTTAATCAGGAACCGATTCAATAATAAATGTAATTACAACCCGCACGCATGAAATCACAGCGGGAACTACGCTTTAAAAGCGCAGTTCCCGTTGCGATTTTCGACTACCTATAGCTGCAAGACACCTTCATCCGTCACCAATCAACTACATCTCAGATTTTTTATTAAAGGGAAATGGCAATATAAATTTATATTTTGGAAGTACTTTTGAAACTATATATCAACTTCTTTTCCCGATTTTTAAAATCTTGCTTATACTTCTTGAAATATTTTCACTTGAAATAATGACATGTCCGCCATCTTGGATATTTTTTTTATCTCATTAACGGTAGTTTTGGTGACGTCACAACAAGGATTAACCATATAAAAGTATTCGTTGCTGACCAAAATAAATATTGATTGGTAGATGTTTGAAAGGTTTTGAATGATATTGATATTTCGAAGGGCAGACAGGGTATAGTTTTGAGCCAAAATGATTAGTGGTTCTCTAGATAAAAATATTGCGTGACCCCTGATCCAGATCTACAAAAATTGAAGATGGCGGACATTTCATTCCTTTCGATCAAAATATTTCTAGAAGTAAACAGGATATGAAAAAGCGGTTAAAGAATATTATATATACAGTCTTCAAAATTACCAATGTTTCTCTAAACAACTTTTTTGCATAACATATTGACAATTTGAGCGCGTTTTTTCTTAAATTTGAGTATTTTGAATGCAATTAGGAAGGCGTACAATAATATTTATCATTTATAGACCAGGAGCGAGGGGGTCTTTCGGGGCAAAGCCTCTCGGAAAATATATCATGCATCCTGACTGAGGGAAATAACGCCGAATCCCCCAAGCGGAAGGTCTATATATTATACCGAGAGTCTAAATCCCCGTTTACAGTACGCTCAATTTTTGGTACGGCACGGATAAAATTGGTATCCGTGCCACTTAGGTAGTCCAAGAACCAAAAAAGTGGTACGGTACAAAAATCGAGCGTAGTGTAAACGGGACTTATTTTTTACTAGGTTTTTAAAACCAAAAAAAGTGGTACGGGTACCTATTTTATCCGTGCCGTACCAAAAATTAAGCGTAGTCTAAACGGGGCTTAAGTTCGGAATAAACTTTACTGTCGATGCAATGGAAGTGTTGATAAAATATTGCTCCAAATCCTTTCCTCAAGTTGATCAATTCATTTGATAGAAAATTGATCAACTTCCTGTTACTTTTAGATGAGCCACTAGATTTCGTTTCAGAACCGATTGACCAATAGGAAGCGCACAGGAACTAAAAAGAACTTTGAATTTGTATGAATTGATCAACTTGAGGAAATGAATTCATGCAACACTTCATTGCATCGACAGTAAAACTTTCTGAATACTATAAACTACGCGAATACAATTCTTAATTTGTTATGTATACCTGATCTTTGACGTTTCCTCTTTAAAATATTTGAGCACGTATCCTTTGGATCATTAAAGGTAACATACATCTTGAAAATCTTTGGTTAAATCAAATCTTCTGTACGAAATTACAAACAACAGCTCGCGAACGCCATATTGTTTCAGAGCGTGGTGTCCACGCGTCACGCGTGAGAGTGGGATACTATAATATCCCACGGTGGATCTGCCGTGGGATATTATAGTATCTCACGCTGCCTTGCGAAATCATGAATTTGAGTGAAATACCGCAAAAAATCAGATTATCACGTAGTACAAATACAAGTTTTTTCATTGGACAATTTGAATTTGAGGTATAATATAAATGTACAGAACACTATGGTATATTACGGATATATAGACTGGTGACACAATTTGCTGGTGACACTGTTTGTATCAATTAAGTTGTTTTCTTATTTATATTCTGCAAGGATGAATCCGAAATGTTGATCTGGTAGTCCGTGTGTTGTGAACCAACATTGTTGATCACTTTCATTAAGCATGTCTTAGATCTGAAATATTACACTTTCAAGCACGCTGAGTTCAAATCCGAAAAGCTCCCACTCCGTTGACCCGCAGTTTTCTCACAAAATGCGATTTTATCTTCAATAATTAATTTCACGACATACTTTTCGTTGGTCCGATCGGACAGATGACGATACACGTGCGATTATGTCAGTAATCGACGCTAATAAAGTGTACAATGAACTCCGCAAAATTAAAACCAATAAAAGCCCTGGTCCAGATATGATACCTAACAAAATTTTGAAAGTCTTTGCATATGAACTTGCTCCAGTTATTACGGACATTTACAATTCGTGTATCATTCAGGGCGTGTTTCCGATGAACCTCAAACGGTCTATTGTAGTTCCAATCCCTAAAGTCTCACTACCTCAAAGCGTGGAGGACGATCTAAGACCCATATCATTAACGTCCCAAATTTCTAAGGTCATGGAGGGGTTCACCTTGACAAAATTATTTGCCCAAATTGAGAGTAAATTGGACACGAAGCAGTTTGCGTTACCAAGGAAATCTACGACTCACCCCCTAACATACCTCCTGCACACCATTTTGTCTTCCCTTGAGAACACTTCCTGCTCCGCTAGATTGTTTTTTGCCGACTTTAAAAAGGGGTTCGATCTTGTTGATCATAATGTCATAATATGCGAACTGGAAAATCTTGGTGTACATCCTGCCATAGTGAGGTGGATAAAAGCTTTTCTTAGCAACCGTGAACAGTGTGTGCAAATTGAAAACTCATACTCGTCGTGGAAGAAAACAAACGGTGCATGGTCTACCACAAGGAACAAAAATTGGACCGCTACTTTTTGGAGTCCTTGTAAATTCTTTGCTCAAGGATTGGCCTGGGAGAGTCAAATTTGTCGACGATACTACGGTCTTGGAAATAATTCCACGATGTTCACCCAGCTTCCTACCAATTATCGTGGACCAAATATCCGATTATGCAAACGAACGAGGAATGAGACTAAATCCAAAGAAATGCAAAGATATGGTTATTACGTTTCTTAAGTATAAACTGGTAGAAAATTACATTTTTATAGGCGGCGATGTGGTGGAGAGAGTCTCCAGTTTTAAACTACTAGGCGTGTGGTTGACTAACAATCTTTCGTGGGATATACACGTAGATAAAATTTTAAAGAAAGCGAATTCACGCATCTATGCTTTACGCCTATTAAAGAAAGCTGGATTGAGCCCTTTAAACATTGTTCATATTTATTGTGCAGTTATAAGATCCCAGTTGGAGTATGCATCACCAGTTTGGTCCGCTCTTCCAAAGACATTATCAGACCTTATTGAGTCGGTGCAAAAAAGAGCTTTAAAAATCGCGTATCCCGATCTATCTTATGATGAAGCATTACACACAAAAGTAACATTAAACTACTGAGTACAAGAAGAGAAGAAGCATGTAGGAAATTAATTAACTCATTTCGAGACCAAGATTCGCCACACAACCCTTTAACTGCAATAGTTAAATCCGGTCTACCAGACCGAACTCATAATTATGATCTGCGTAATAATAATCCGCAACTCTTACCGATTATGTCTAAACGGTTAAAGAACATTTTTACCATTAAATATAGTTAACATTTTATTAATACATTTTTATAATAGGTAGTTAATAATAAGTATATAACATTGTTAACGTAAATTTTAATGTTTAATATTGTAAATATCCTTTCCATGCAATTCAGCTTTAGCTGCAAAATGGATTTTATTAAACTAATAATAATAATATTAAGTATGTCACTCAAAAGGACCAGTTTCAATTAACCAATCTTCCTTTTACCAAAAGACCGGTTTTAATTTGCTCGAATCATTTTGAGTTAAGCAATCTAATGCGTGCTGGACGTAAACAACATATCTTGTCTACAGCTTTGAGAAAGTACAGATAACGCTTTCTAATAATTATCCTCAGTGCTGGAGATATCTCTATAAATGATCACAAGGACATTAATGCGCTTTGAGATCAATCTTAAATAACCTTATAGGGGCCGATTACATGGAGCATTTTCAACCCCGGGGTTGAACTCAGCCCTGTTAATCGGGTTGAAATTTTTTGCGATTACATGGACGATTTCAACCCCGGGGTTGAAACGTTATACTATACGTTCTCGGCATCGATTCGCGGAAGTAAACTGAGCCTTTATTTTGTTTTCTTGTAATAAATAGTCACCTCTACGCAAGCTCGAATAACTCATGATAATTTCAGCCCTGGGTTGAAACGATTACATGACAAAATTTTCAACCCAGGGTTGAGTTCAACCCCGGGGTTGAAAATTTTGTCATGTAATCGCGCGTTTGATTTTGATAGAGTTTTGTATTACAGACAGGGCTGAAATTTCAACCCGGTAAACAGGGCTGAGTTCAACCCCGGGGTTGAAAATGCTCCAGGTAATCGGCCCCTTAAACTATATAAGAATAAATGTTTACATCAAAGTCAAAGACAAAGATCAGTCCCAAAGTATAAAATATGCTCTGTAAACTTACGACGAAGTGGAGAAATGCGGGCTGCATGAGCTGTTTATTTGGTGATTTCAACGTATATGCATGGAAGCCCTATTTCAATCGCACAGTATAACACTAACTGATGTAATAGTTCAAATGCAATGATAAGTTATCTCTTGTATTACATCTCAAAAACTGTGTTGGAAATGTATATAACATTTTGATCGCATGTAAGAAATTATTTTTCAGCCAAGAGACATAGCTCAAAGACTTAACATCAACGTTCTTGTAATTTAATTTAATTTATAGAGATAATCCAGAACTAAGAATATTTGAAGAAATTATCTGTACCTTCTCAAAGTTGTAGACAAGATATGTTGTTTACGTCCAACACGCATAAGATTGCATAACTCAAAATGATTCGAGCAAAACCGGTATTTGTTAAAAGGAAGAATGGTTAATAGCAGGTTCTGAAAAAACTGCGGGTCGACTGAGTGGCAACTTTTCGGATTTGCATGAACTCGATCAGCGTGTTCGAAAGTGGTAGTTCCCGTAAAAATATTTCAGATCTAAGACATGATTGCTTAATTAAAATCGTTTTCTAAGCACTTTTCGAGGTCACAACACAAGGATTAAGGCTTCCGAAAAAACTATCGAATTTTTCCATGATGTTTTACAGAGAAACGTCACAGCTGCAACCCAAACGATCTTATGACGTTTCTCGTGGACAAAATCGATATGTGAGGCGGCCCGGCTTATATAAACACGACAAATAAATAATTGTATTAATCGTTCTTCATTTTTCATAAACATGTTACGTCTATTTTTGTGCTTTATTTTCTCCAGCAAATTCACCGTAGCAGAAAAAGGTTCACCGACTATGTCTTTTATCAGTTTTGTGTTGTTTGGCTTCGTGTTGGTTCTCACAGAGCATTTTATTGCCTGTAACGTTGTTCCTAAAACAGGGTCGGATGAAGTAGAGAAGAGAACTGTTAACGTTGGTATCCCGGTAAGTTGGTCTTACTTAAAGTCTAGATCTGGGACTAGAACTGCTCAGTGCCGGCATGTGAGATGTTCTAAGAGTGGCTTATACATAAGCGTAACGGAAGGGAAACATGGGGGAGGGGGGTGTGGTTACCCGACTTTTTCCCATTGTGGCAGACTTGTCAAAAACATTTTCCGTACAAACTTCAGTTCCACAATTCACAGGGTTCGTAGTCTCCAAGACCAAAAAATTCAAAGACTTTCAAAGATTTTTTCTTCCTATTTTCAAAGACTTTTCAAAACCTTTGAGAGCAATTAACTGTCGAAATAAATACAAAAATGAAGAGAACGACTTCAAACTAGTCATCATCATTTCTTTAAACATATAAATATGAAACGTATTAATGCAACATTTGTGGGACTAATGGCCTCCTTGGGGAGTGTTCATTAAATTATTGTATTGTACAAATTGATTCAATTTTAGTTAAATTTGGATGAAATTTGGTTAAGAGCGAGGTTAGCAACTGTTATTTTGATTTGCCAGGCAGAGTAAAAACTGCTGCCTATAATTAGCATGTTTCACAATTTATGCATGATACATAACTTAATAGTTAATTCATTGGTGGTATGTGCAAGCGCACCTTATTTTCTAGAGACTTTTGGGAGACCCTCAATTATCTATTGCCGACTAAGCTAATTCCAATAATGGACATGTTGGGATATTACTCAGAACCTATAAACTGTGATTCTAGAAAAAAGCCAGATAACTAATTAATTGACCAGTGAATCGATTATGGACTGATGCAGAATTTTGTACTCTTTATTTCAGACTGTAGTTGCTTTCCAAGCAACGCTGACAACAGGTAGAATTGGACCTAACTACGCCCGCGGGGCCATTAAATTTAACCGCGTTACTCTGAACATTGGAAACGGTTATAACCCAAGCACTGGAAAATTTACTGCACCTATTGCAGGTTTATACCAGTTTACTGTCACATACCTTCAGCAAAATGGCTACAGCTCTTACGTTAGGTTGATAAAAGGGAGTACTGCTGTCAGTCAAATCCTTGCAAACCACAAAAAGTATGATCAGCTAACGAAAACCATTCTTGTGACTCTGACAAAGGGCCAAACATTCTGGGTTAGGTTGGAAAGAAGTAGTAGCTACGCTGTATATGGAGCCGGACGATATACTCAATTTGGTGGATTCCTTCTTTCAGCCGGCAATTATTAATAAAACTTTACCATGCAAAATATGCCTCACTCTGTTCACAAAATACGTAATCCTTAATTAAATTCTAGAATAGTAGAACACCATAAGGGACAATCGCTTCTAACTAAATGTATTAAATATACGACGAGTGCAGGTTAGCTACTAGTTGTATTGCTTCAGCTTTTATTTTCAAAATATTAAATAACGCTTTCAAATAAATTGACTATTATTAGTGTGTTAATGTTGTTACCCGACAAACTACATGTATCCACGGAAACCCGAAGCGAGGATATTAATTACTCCGGTTATTTACACCCAGGATAAAGGCAGGATAGCAGATCTATATGCCCTACATTGTGGCCATATTGTATGGGTGGTCGCAACACTGAATTCAAATTTTATGCATTTCTACTTTCAAAGAATTGTTGCCATATACACTATTTTCCACTTTATTTCAGTGTAGGTACAAGTTTCTTAAATCAAAATTTACCGTGTAAATTAAACGAGCGAATTGTATGATATGAAGTGACTTCATTCAAAGACAAAGTTTTTCCGCGATTATCTCGCGGATTAATTGATTTTGAAACGTTTTACGAAACGTCTAAGGTGCAGTTTTACGTTCAATTGAGGCTTGTACAGGTGTCCCTTTCTGGTACTAGCGTTAATTAATATTTTCAGATTTTTGTACAGTGGATCAAACTATATACTCAACCATTCGCCTTCTAGAATCACTTTTAAAAGTTGTCCAACTATCCAAGTAGGCCGACGTCTGCTGAAGCGTTCGCACTGTTCCATGCAGGCACAGAGTAGAGACATACAGAGACGTAACTGACCGTCGTAAACACTGCAGAAGATTACGTTATCATGTACCCAACACCGCGGAAAAACGTCTGCGCATGCGTCAACCTTACCTGTAATAGTATTGCGAACTTGATGAGAAGCTGTTCCGAACGTTTCCGAAGGCTCAAAATGGCGGTAAAAATGAGTGACTTCATTGTGCGTCTTTACAGCCAGATTTCGAGCGCAAAAATAAACATGTCATTCTAGAAACTAGGTATAAATACAGCCAGAAGGTTCAAGAAATTGTATTGTACAAGAACATGAACTGGAGGTGATTGTTGACAAATTTATCGTCTGAAACATTTTGTTTATCAACTAAGCAACGACAATTTCCGAATTTTCGTTTGAGATACATTTCGTTTGAGAAAAAACTGTGTCGCCAAATATAAAAAATTTTCGTGTTCACAATAATTAAACTTTAGAATTCATTCTACAATTAGAGTGGGTTAAGAAGCTTAACTTTTCGAGAGTTTTCTTAACTTTTGAGTTTGAATTTTTGTTTTGAAAAATTTTGCAAAAATTTTCGAAGTCGTGTCCGTTAAAATCAACATTTTTTTACATGAATTATATTTCATTCCATACTTTAAATGCCAGGACGCTTTCAATTAATGTCTAGTCTACCCATTTGCTATATTTTCTCGTTTGTTTTACTAATTTTTGACCAATTAATAAGCATGTTTTTGTTTTTGAAATTGATATTCAAATTACCCGCCATATTTTCATAATTTGGTGCATGCGCAGACGTTTTTCCGCGGTGTTCATGTACCCACTTTTTTTCAGGCGACCGGGAGAAAAATGATCAACTGCGCGTGCCCAGCAAGTTTAAAGTGAGTCGTCATCAGGTCGTCATCCAATCAGATGCATGCATCTAGTAACTTGCCGAGCATGCGCACAAAAAAAGTGGGTACACTAGTTACGTCTCTGCATGTCTCTACTCTGTGATGCAGGTAGAAAATATCACCGAAACAGTAGTTTGCGATGTAATATAAAAGGGGGTGTGGGGTGCATGAGGGTATAGGTTTCAATGATAAAAACTTTGATTGATATGACTGCATGTTTTTAGTCATGCATTGGAATATACCAAGATATAGATCCACGTGAGCAACACTTACCTTTGCAAGTTCTAGTTTGACTCATGCACTCCCATACCACACCAAATTTAATATACTTAAAACATTAAACTGATATAGTGGCCAAGATGGAAGGCATAATCTAATCCCGAAACTTTAGACTGATATAGTCGCCTAGATGAAAGGCATAAAATCCAAACTTCCATCACCAAAACATGAGCCTGTTAAATTGGACATTTTCTTCTTTGATCGTACGCACGCGCATCCAGTTGCTATTTTTGTCAGTTTGTTGGTTTCATATTTCATTTGAGCATCATAACAACACTGTTTATGGCGGCCTAAGCGAAGCGACTTCGACCGGAGGAAGGATTCTACAGAGTTGTAGAGGATGGAGTGCCCTTAGAACGCGCTAACTATCCTCTCATTGATAATAAAGAAATATGGAATGGTTTTCCGTGCAGGATTGTGTGCCCTTTTCAATATCCTAAAGTGTCGCTGGAAGCCGGTGTTATAATTACTGACGTTATTGTAAACGTGGACACCACGCGTGTGCCGCTCGAATGTGTGAGCACATGGAATATTAATGACTTGTGTGGAAGTTTTGAGTAGAGCGAGTTAAGAAGTGAAATATAAGTTTTAAAAGTTTATTGATGATTTAAAAACGAGTTTAGGTCAATTTATTACATGGTCCTTCGAGCCGGATATGTCTACTGAAAAGAGTAAAAGAGCAATTCGAAGAGGAAATCGAGCTTTCGTGACGAAAGTTATTCAGACGGCAAATGACGCCATTGACAAGTTTGGTTTAACTCAGACGGAGAAAGATGCGTTAAATCACGGATGTAAAATCACGTTAATGGATAAGAAAGAATCCATAAGAAAGCTTGATGAAGCTATTCTGAATGAAATTGAAGATGAAGAGAAGATTATGGAAGATATATTTCAGGCTGGTAAAGTGGGTGAGTCGATCAGTAAAATGCTTGTTAAAATTGAAAATGTTTTGAAGACAGTGGAAGCGAGCAATGTGACCTCGCCAGGGGGACTGGGTACAACCATGCCAAGCGTATGTCAGCCAATGCACCCCTCGTCAGCCAGAGCAATATTACCAAAACTGTCCTTGAAGAAATTTTCTGGAAATCCTACTGATTGGCAATCATTTTACGATAGCTATAAAGCTGCAGTTCACACTAATGACAGTTTATCTAAAGTTGACAAATTCAACTACTTGAAAAGTCTGGTGGAGTGTCCGCCAGCTTCAGCAATCGCAGGGTTTTCGTTAGCTAACGAAAACTATGAGACTGCTTTAATTTTAAACTTTTGGAAGAGAGATTTGCAAATCCACAAATTATAGTTTCCAGTCATGTTGATGCCCTATTGAAGTTGGAACCTGTTTCTATTATACATGAAATTGTCAAGATTCGGAAGCTGTATGACAGTATTGAAACGCATATTCTTAGTCTAGCGAATTTGAACATAGAAAGTGAAACATATGGGACTCTTCTGATTCCAATGATTCTTGCTAAACTTCCAGAGGAAATGCAGTTGTTGATAAGTCGGAATGTTGGCAAGGATGATTGGAAATTAGATGAGTTACTTAAGGAATTTAGAATTGAGTTAGCTGCTTGAGAAAGTGGCTCGTTGTTACAAAGCACTACAGAGAAAAAGGACGGTGCCAGAAGAAATTATGAGCCTAGTACATCATCAACACTTTTCACGGGAAGTGACAATCGTTCAATCCAGAAATGTACGTGCTGTGGGGAACAACATTTATCATCACGGTGTAATATAATTACAGATATTTCAGCACGTAGAGCTATTCTCCGAAAAAAGGGACGGTGTTTTGCATGTTTGAAGTCTGGTTATATAGTCAGACATTGTCCTTCCAAGTTTAAATGCCCGAAATGTGGAAATAACCATCACATTTCTCTCTGTGAAGGTATACAACCAAGGGAGGACCCTAGTAGTAATATAGAGGCCGTTCAACCCCCATTTTTGAGGGTGCGTAAGGGTGCGCTAATTAATATTCATAAAAATGAGGGTGCGTAAGGGTGCTGAAGGTGCGTTAATTAATAGTCGTACAAATGAGGGTGCGTAGTGACGTCACTCATTAACATACGTCATAATTATATGCAATGACGTCACGCGGGCGAGCTTAAACACGATCGGGCGAAACTTGCTGACTACGCATTTTTTAGTGTCCCCCACGTGTATGATACAATTGAGGGATTAATGTTGGCTTACTATGATTGGTTGTTTGATTTAACGAGCGTCTGTATAAAATCGACAAGCGTCTTGTAGTGAGCATAGTTTTGCATCAGTCATGGAGTGTCTACACGGAAAAGCTGCTGCCTCTACAACTACAAACAATGGTACATTTTGGTTTTGTGGGGAAAAACCAAGCTGTGAGTTTTTTTGCCCGGACGAAAATTGTTATATGTATACGAGAGCTGTAGCTGCGTTTCGTGCAAGTGGTTCTATACATCCCGTATGTCCTACACATCAGAAATTTGCCAAGTTATGTGTAGTCAAAGACACAATGAAAGATAATTACGGACGACCCTTCTTCGTATGTTCTGAGCGAAAGAATCCCTGCAAGTTCTGTCAATGGGGAGACGTATTCGAAGGTCCAAGACCGTTATGTCAACATGGAATGGTGTGCTGTGAACGAAAAGTCAAGAAAGATGGTCCGAATCAAAACCGTCTGTTTTACTGCTGTCGGAAGGACGACTCTTGTGGTTTCTTCGAATGGAAGCAACAAGGCCCTCGGGTGACCAACACTGGCATTGTACTCTTCAGTAATCCACTACAATACCAGTACATGATTGAAGAAACAGGAGAGACATTTAATAGTTCTAAATCTAACACTAAGGAGGCCTATGATGAATTTCGTAGATTTGGTTTAACAAGTGAACTTGATAAAATAGACCTCTTGTAATAATAATACGTTGCTAGTTAATTAATGTAAATTTGCATATATTTACTGAAATAAATACTGTGTGTCTCATTTGCTGTTCAATCGTTGTGGTGAGAGTATCATGGATAACATAGATATAATTTTTGATGAGTTGAAACGAAATGAAATTGATATTGATAAGCAAACTTTATCGTTTCATATAAATACAATTCTCGCCCGCCATCGAGATCTATATCGTGCAGTGAATGCTCGTGATCTAAACCTTGACCAAATCTACAGAGAGATTGTCGTAGGTTCCCAGCGCAGCGCCGCCAATTCATTCTACTTTAAATATACTTCATGTAATATATCAGTATTGTGCTTGACGTAATTCATGTTAAATCGTAAATAAGTCTTTGTATGTGTAAATTGATACGTCACAGTGACACATTGTAATTTGGTAGGGTATATCAAATAGCTAGGGAGTGATTGAATGTCATTGTTGCCGTCAGATCGTAGCGAGACAATCGGAATGTTTAACAGTCTAAAACTCACGTTGTAAATAGTATACTTTCACATATTACAATCAATACACTTATAAAATACAGTCCCTTGAGCGTTTACTGAATGAACCAGACGGTGGAATCACAAGTTCCGCAACACAGTGGTCCGATCGAGACGGATTGTTAATATTGTGAAGAAAGGACGCGCAAATAGTCAACATTTGCGTCGCGGTCGAGAATAGAGTTGCGTGAAGTTTCGAGACTTGAATCGTCAGATGGAAGATCTAGTCAAGAAGAAACGAGTGAGAGGAGGCCACAGATCGTCAGCTAAAAAGCTTGTGGCGAAGATAGTTGAAAGGCTTCAAGGTGAGAGCCCAGACAAAGACGTACTATGGTTGCGACAGAGCCAAACGAACTTGAAAGAAAAAATCAAGACGATAAGACAATTCGACGAACAAATAATTGACATAATCAGCGCATCGAAAGAGGAAGACGTCGATGAACTTGTAACGCAAGAAATTGAAGACTCAGACAACGCGATAGCGGAACTGGAAAGAATATTACTCGAGCTCGAGGATGAATTATGTAAATTGAGACAAAGCACGCCATTGTCAGTGTCGACAACGCAGAACGCCGCGGATGCAAGCCTTAATCAGAGTCATTTGTCAACCTCCAGCGATATGTCAGTCGGTAAAATCGTTCGAGCTAAGCTCCCGAAACTTGAACTCAGAAAGTTTAACGGAAAGATTTGCGAATGGCAGGAGTTTTGGGACAGCTTTTCAAGTTCAATCGATAACAATGAGCAATTGTCTGATGTCGATAAATTTGCGTATTTACGCGGTCTGTTGGAAGAACCAGCAAAGTCAACAATCGCTGGGTTTTCTCTGACAGAAGCAAATTATAAGTCAGCAGTAGAACTCTTAAAGAAACGATTTGATAAAAAGAGCGCAGTCCAGCGAGCACACGTGAACGAATTGATTCAATTGTCGCCGGTATTCAAGGAAAGAGACACGCGAGGACTTCGCCATTTATATGATAGCTGTGAAGCACATAACCGCGCGTTGAAAGCACAGGGGGTGAGCGAGGAATCTTACTCCAGTATTGTTGTTC